CCCACCTGGATTTTGGTATCCCTTGTCATCTTTCAGCCAGATCCTGGTTGGTAAGCGGTCGTTGACGGTATCAAATGATCGCTGATACGCTTTGAAATGGCATGAACCTCTTTATGGTAATACGACAGCTCCGGAAGGCTGCTGCACATTACATTGCGGTTTACATCACCACACGCGGCAATAGTGGTCATCAGGGCCTGGTTGATGGCTTGCATGGCAGATCTTAACTTCCCCTTGACAACGCCATGGAACTGGAAGGTCTGGCGTGTTGTGAGTTTCATCGTCTCGTTCCCATGCGCGCTGCTAATGGCATCCATTTGCAGCCATTGTTTTGGCGTTGCAACTCCGCCGGGCAATCTGCAACGGATCATGAAGGAGTAGGCAGGTTCCAATCCCTGAGCCTTGCGTTCGTCTCTCACGTCGCGATCGTCTTGCATATAGGTGCCATGGAACTTGGTAAGCTGTTGGTCAGTTGCGGAGATTGCACCAGTCGACTCATCACGCAGGCCCTCTGCGATAGTGCCTCGCAAATAATTGGATTGTAATTTCATATCCTCGTTGGTCAATGGTGGCGGTTCCTCAGGTAGTCCCTCGACCTTGTCCACACCCAAAGCCCGCCACAATCTCGGCTCCCATTCCTGATACCCCGTCTGGAACGCGTCGGGATCCTGGTCATCTCCCAGGCCGATGTCAGTCAATTTCTTACCGCCAAGGAATGATACACGAGCGTCAAGATCTTTTCCGGGCTTGTTGTAGTAGATCTTGTCCTCTCTTCGAGGCCAGTAGTGACTGTCTCCCAATGAGAAAACTGAGTAGTGAATGGAAGAGAGATCGAGGTCCCCAGAGTTCTTGATGACCTCCCACAATGCACGACCGTTCTGAGGAAATTCACCCTGGCCAGCTGTGCTGGTAATGAACGCCACATTTTCCTCAGTAGCCAGGTCTTCGATGGGATAGTCATCCATAGCCAAAACCATAGTCTTCAGACCACGGGCCTTTCCGCGATTAGCTAGCCTCTTAGCCAAGTTCTCGGCGTTACCATTGTCAGACGCGAACAAAATAGTCAGAGGTGCGCCAAAGAGACCCTCCAGAAGTTTGTCATAGGAGTCCTTAGCAGCTCGCTTTTGCAGAGCCCGGACTTCCGTCCCATAAGATTCTGACAAGCTAGCCGAGAACCGGGGATGTCGCTTCATCAGCTGGGTGAGTTGGTTGTCCCGACGAAGAAATCCCTCCAGCTCTCGCTTGATCCTCTCGGAATCGAGGGCGAAATTGGATTCTCCTCTCTCCGCATTTATCGGGTTCCATCTATACAGCGGCCAATATCCCAGGTCAACCTGCTTTTTTTCGTTTCCTGCAAGATGCTCAGGGGCCAAGTCGCTCTCCCTGGTTGGAAAGGTAATTATCAAGAAGGATGGAAGGGCACCTCCCAATTTGGTCT